AACAGAAGATGGGTTATGAGCTGGGCAGAGGATGAATGCAGTAGAGTGGGAGACATGAAACATGTTTATTGTAGCAAGAGAAATGGTAGCAAAACAAATCTACATTAATTAAAAACATAATCTACTCTGTAATTTAATGTTAAGGAGAAATATAAATCAGAACTTCTTCAATTTTCATCTGATGGCTTTTCCATCCTGTTTCTTAGAACAGTTCTGCATTTGACAATTATACAGTGCAACAGCATTAGAAGAAAAAGGTCACCAATAAGACTTAATTTAAATTATGCATCACACTAATGCTCCTTATTAATGTATATTTCATGTCATAATATTTTGCAATGGGGCATTTTCTCCAATTGATTTGTTTTATAAATAGAACTGTCACTGCTCCTCGAAGGAATTAAATTATTAATTATATACCTAAAATTAGCATTTATGAGAACACATAATTAAAACTAAACAAGTACTAGCTTTAATTTCTAATTACCTAGCTATTTGTGCAAGTGAAGAGACCTCTACTAATACCATGCATTGTAAAACCTTTTAAAGACAAGTGTTATTAAGGCAGACCTGCAAGAAAAAAACTTGCTCTAGCAAAGTGCACCATATATTCTGAAAGAATTCTGAAACTGCCATTGTTAAAATGTGTTAATGATATCATTTGAATAGATAAACCCAACACGCAAAAGTCTCTTAAGTTGTCCATTTACAATATGTGACAAATAGGGAAATTCATACAATGAATTTCAGTTACACATTGCTATTAAAGGTGCAATATTTCTAGACTCAGCAATTTACCTACACAATACAGTACAAAAACATTATATTCTTAGCAATATATACAACACAACTCCATAACAAAAAAGAAATGCAACCTCACCTCACTAACCTGCTCTTACAGTATCTATTATAAGGAACAAGTAATAGGTTTATTCCATGCTGAAAAAAAAAGAAGAAAGAAAACACAACGTTTAGGCCGTTGAGCCTTCTTCAGATGTGAATATGCTTTTATATTATGGTTCAGATGGTGTGTCTATAAGCTAAGCTGAGTGGTAGTAAATAGCTGATTGATTAGTATTTTTATTAATGACATATACTGTAAGCAAGACCTAAGTTATATACAGGTATACAAGGTGATTTAAAAAAAAAATCTTATGTCTTGTTTATATATGGGACTTTTTACTCAGGACACCACTGCACTCCCACTTCCCTGGAAGAGATTTAAGGAAATACAAATTATTGAGAATGCCATGTATTGTCTCTGTTAAAAGCTTTTATAACTTTTACAAGCAGGAATTTCTAAACAGAATACTAAAGATATAGAGAGAGAGGCATAAAACAGAAAGGGGAAGTGCAGGAATTGTTAAACGAGAAAGTAGAAAACAATGTCTCAATATCAAGTTTCAAATCTTACATTCAGAGCTTGTGAACTCTGCATTATGAAAGCCTTTCCAGGGAAACTCCTGTGTTTAATCAGCAGTTAATGAATGGTAAGGAGCTTTAAGAAGGACAAACAATGCAGGTAGTGTGAAAATATTTAAAAATAGTTAATTTGGAAATATACATTATGTAAATTATAAAATCAATATAATATTAAATAAAAATTAAATGTATTATGTTGTGCCTTTCTTTATATTTAATTTATAGTATGATAATAAATTAAATTATATTACACAATAATTTATATTGTAGTTATTTGCTTCTGCCTCAAAGCACTTAGATCCTAAGTTTGAGTTTGCATGCTGTCCCACATTCTAAAGACATTATGGCTAACCCATTTGTTGTCACTAAATGGTCCTCATGCATATGTGTGTGTGTACCCTGTGATGGGCAGGCATCCCATCCAGAGGGAAACCCTGCCTTGGATCTTCCGCCTTTGAGTGATGTTAGTAATAATTGGCTTTCTGATCATTGATGGATGAAGGCACTACCTTCTGAAAAATGACAAATATTTTGATGAGATCTCCTATTTGTGTTCCCTGCACAGATAAACCATCTATTTATTTTCTAACTGCTTCTTCCAGTTCAGGGTTGAGGGAAAGCTGGAACCTATCTTGGCAAACAATGCACACAAGTCAGGGCACTCTGGACAGGAGACCAGTCCATCACAGAACAGACATACTGTACAAACACATTCACACTTACACCAAGAGCTGTTTTTTTTCCCAGAAGCCAATTAATCTACTAGTATATTTTTAAACTATGGAATGAAACCAGCCACACAAATAGCAGGAGAACGTTCAAACTCCACACAGATGGCACCTTGGTCCTGAATTGACCCCAGGGCCATAGCACTGCAAGGCAGCAGTGCTAACCACTGTGCCACCATGTTGTCCATACACAGACCATGCCAAAATGTACTAATAGTATGTATTGCTGTAAAAATATTTCATACAAAATTGAAATTATTTTCATTTTAAAAATGGGATTATGGCAGACTTTAAAGCTTCCTTTTTGCTGAATAATGTTTGCATTATGTGTTTTTGTCTTGCAAATACTAAACATGTTTTGGGGAATGAGTGACAATTTACTTTTCAAATTATGAGTTAGTATCTCTTTTTCTGTTTTTTTTTTAAGGCTTTAGTTGAGCATTAGGTCTCAAGGGCATTAAATCAGTTATTGTGAACAAAACCAGTCTCTATTTTAGTGTCTGCTTGACTCAAGTGATTCATTGAAGCACAGAATAAGCAGTTGTTTCATAGATTCTTAAGGCATATGAATAGAAATCCTCCCATCTTGTGATAACCAAATATTCAGTTTAAAATTACAGTTCTCAGTAAAGCCAGCTCAATACTAGCCAGGTAACGCGCAGACAGTAAAAAGCTATATATGCTGTAGAAGAGTCATATATGTTATGGAAGAGAAATACTTGTTTATAAAAGCCTGTGCAAAAAGCACATATGTGTCCACTGGTTGAAGCAAATGAGCAGAATCTATTACACATTCAACGTCTCCAGTAACTCAAAGGCTTCTTTGTATGGGCCCTCGGTACAGTATGTGATATTTTAAGCTTTTTCGGTTTTGTTTTATCTCAACCTTTAACAGGTATTCATACACAGTACAATAAGTACGAATAGATAACTGGGGTTATACAACAGAATATTTTTATTGCACATACACTTATTTTAATTTAAATTATGTTAATTCGGGGATAAAAACACATTCAGTCATCCTGCTGCAAATTGTTTTACTACAGGCATAGTTCCGGACAACCTCACTGGAGGTCCTTGGAAGACAAGCGGAAGTGCCTGGGCGGAACAGCCTTGCAGGGACAGAGAGAATAAGAAAGATTGCGGAGAAGAAAACGAAAATATTGCAATTTAATTAAAAGCATTTTTTTTAAAGCACGTCTTATATTACGATTTGGGAATTCATTTTCAATCGCCATGATTCTTCTGGAAATCAACAACCGTATTATAGAGGAGACGTTGAGTCTGAAATTCGAGAGTGCGTCCAATGGGTAAGAAAATGTAAATTAAAAATTAATAATAAAATGCGTTGTCTATTAAAGATATACAGTCTGATCGTGCCGTGTTTCTTAAATGAATCTTAAAATACTAGGCTAAACGCAGCGGCCTTGCTGGGAATGTTCGTAAGTAATAACTGGGGTGTGTCTTTTTTATCTTTGTTACAGGACAGGAGTGAAGACTATCGTTTAAGATATAATCTATTTAAAAGTGGTCTAATGTCAAGAAATAATGAGAGTTCACACTCCTGCAGTTTACTTAATGACATTAACTGTCGCTGGTTGCTGTAGTAGTAATAGTCGAGATGCAATAAGTACTTCAACATCCGGCCTAAGTTAGAAAGCGGAAAATAAAGTTTAAGCCTACTGTTGCTCTAACTGATGACTATAAGTAATGAGAGCATTTTACCCTCTTCTGTATATAAATACAAAGACGTATTGTTGTATTCTTCAGGATTTGTAGATTAGGAGAGCTTTGAATCGCAACAGTGACACCTCGTTACAGAGGTAAAGCTGCAGTGACAGCAAAACTGACACCTCATTAAGACGAGACGGGTCTAACACCACCTAACAACACAACACCTGTCTACATATTACTTTACATCTCATAATTATCATTGTCACTCATTGGTTTTTTTTATCGTCGGAATTCGTACAGTTAGTCTCATGATCGCTTTTAACGTATGACTTCCGCATTTAATGAATTGGCAACAGGCGCAGTTTTACATATTTGTGGTCACTTGGGTCGAGCTTTTTTCGAGCTTGGAATTCTTTTTTATTTTATTTTTGTAATTTATTTCATAAATTATCGTCAAATTTGCCACTTGCTTGGTGGAAGCCCCCTTCTTTGCCTATGCACTTCCGCATTCCGGAGTCCCCTTTCAAGTCTAGGCAGGGGTAGTCAAGCCGGCGAGCAGCACATGCAGTAGCGAATACCAAAGTGCTTCACCTAGAGGAGAGCACCTCTAATCCGCCTTCATCCCCCGCTGAAGGCACGGGGAAATGTAGAGGGGATAGTGATTATCTGCTGCCATACTGAGACTTTAGCTTGAAAATTAAGTGTTTGTGCTATAAAAAAATAAAGATCACCGTAGAAAAACAATGCAGGCCATAAAGTCATATATTTCATGCAGTTATCTGGTTTGATTTTTTGTTAGTGCATGGTGCACAGCAAAAACCTTATCGTTGCTCAAAATACCGAAGTCTTTTGTAACGGTATAGTGTGTGAAGTGTGTTGCGGATATTTTGTATTTCTGGTATCGCTGAATTTTATTTAGTTGGAAATCTTATGAATGGTGTGTTCCTGGAAACCTTTTGATTATCTTGCAGAGACTTAGTTGCTTTTGTTTCACTGGGAATGCTGTTTAGAACACAAGGTAATGTGTTCCTTGGCAGTCACTGGTTCACTCTTGTGGGGATGGAGAGGAAGTCTACATATCTTCTGTAATGATGCTGTTCAGGTGAAATTCTGTTGCAGCAAGTGTAATTACAAAAAATAAACTGCATGTGGAAATAATGCCTTTGAAAAGAAAAATACAATAAATCTGTTTCAAAGAAATGAATGGTTAGTGCTTTAGTTGTAATTTAACTAGATGTAGTTTTTAACATATTTGTTTAGAAATATTTTTAAAAATTGAGTTTCCTGCTTTTTTTGTAACCTTCCTTGCACTATGGTAGACTGAGAAATCCAGTTTAGAACAAATTGAACCAACTCAATCTAAGAAGCTAAATAATTCTACTTTCTGATTTTTTTTATGGTAGGAGGTAGCTAAAGCATTATTGTTTAATAAAACAACTTAAAAACATTTACAGATGATGACCTGGGAGCATCCCAGGAGAACAATCTCCATTCTAAAGAAACATGCCAAAATATATGCTAGGGGCCAGAAAAACATTTTTAAAAGTGACTGTACTGCAATTATCGTGATACTTAAAAGGATAGTTAATACTTCTACCACATTTTTTAAAATGACTCACCCTTGATACGAGCTTTTGAGTTTGCAGTCTATATGTTTCCCTCACACACATTAGCACAGAGTCTCTATTGTTAACGTAACTGATATTATACTTCTGTTTTTTTTCAGGAACAAACCTGAGGCAGTAGAAGTAACATTTGCGGGTAAGTGCAGTTTGGTTCAACATATATAACCTTTGTCTTATGTAGTGAAACTTTTTAAACGTAAAGTACTCTTTGTATTTTATTTTTCCTCTAACAAAAAAAAAAATCCCCATTTCTCATTTGTCCAGTGACACCGAGACACATTATTTATAAACTCTTATAAATGGTGCATGTTGTCCATTAGAAAATGATCCCTTATTTAATGTGGTTCTATGTCTGGAATATGATGTTATTTATTCACATATAAGAATATAAGAAAGGTTGCACACAAGCAGAAGCCCTGTAGCCTATCTCGCCAGTTAAATAGTTTAGAAGAGAAGTAAATTCTAACATTTTCTCCAGCTGCTTTTTGAAGGAGACTTTTTGAGGCTCGGCCACTTGACTGGAAAGTATCTTCGAGACACCAGCAACTCTTTGTGTAAAGAAGTGTTTCCTCTTCTCCTTTCTAAACAATTGTTTTATTTCCCAGTTATGTCTCCCCCTTTTTGTTTGCAGTTGAGTTTGTAGTAGTCCCTCTGGGTTGAGCTTATCTATATCTCTTTTGGTTTATATCAGCTATAACCTCTCAAGCCTCATGCAGCATTGGAAAATGCAGCCATTTTAGTAGAATAAACATTCTGTTCTTTTTGATTTCGCCTACATTGAGTCTTTGAAATAAACATTTTAATAGACGATATTAAAAGCATTTAACGACAAAAAGTTTAAAAGGTTATAAAAAGTGCTTTGCAAGCTGAAATCAGCAGTACAGAAATTATTTTTTATCTCACATGCCAACAACCTGGTCAGAAAAAACAGAATTGAGACGCAGGGATTCCAAGACTGAGACCAACTGCTGGTCAGACATCCCTCCTACATTAATTTGTTGAATTTAAAAAACATTACATTACTTGACTGCACCTATAGTTAAATGTATGAATCACAGATTTTGGTGGTGTGCAGTGTAACACGAGAGCTCCAAGTCTGAAGAATTCTTAAAATCATTATCTCATTGTAAGATTATATATATATATAAATATTCTCACAGGTATTGTATGTTTTAACACATTTTCAGAGTAATTTTTGGTCTCAAATGAGCAACATGTTAAGCAAACCACTTGATAAGAAGGTAGTGTCATAACCTGTAACTTTTTAGAATAATTATGTCCAGCTCCCATTTGACTTATGATTTGTCAGTCTTTCATTTTTTTTTTAAATAGTTCAGAACCTTTTAGAAACTCCTTATTTAGATTCTAGACTGAGATTCACACCATCTGCAGTTGCAATAAAGCCCAGTCCATCATACTGGATCCCAACCATCCCGGCCACAAACTGTCCTTCCCCCAGCACTCTGGCAAGCAGTACTTCACTATTAAAGCACAGACCACTAGGCTTAAGAACAGTTTCTACTGCAGTACACATCCTCAACAGCTAACTGCAGTGCCTCAGACTCAGTGCATGTCAGCACTATTACTTTTATGCATGGTCTGCCATGTTTTTACAGTACTTCATATTTATTGTTCTGATATTATGTCTTATGTTAGTAATGTACTGTCTACACTGTGTCTGTTCTGAGAGATAAGCACAACTAAGAATTGCTCTACTCTCTACTCTACTTAGATTGAACTGCAAGTAGTTTTTTGTGCTTTGCTAGAGAGGTCTGGTAAGAAGTGGAAAGTTATTTGACTGCTACATCTAGTTTATAAACCAGTGGTTGAATTGTATCTTAGTACACACGTGTTCTATTTGTCTGCTGAGGCTTGAGTGAAACCTGAGTATGGAGGCATACACAGAATTGCTCTCTATATATTTATTACACATTTCATAAATAGTAGACTGCATAATCTTATTTGATGTCCTACATGGTTTTTTTTAAAAAAAGGAGGCTTTGTGTGCATATTTTGTGTACTTCTTCTTTTATGATCTAAAAAGAAGGATATCCTCAGAAATGTATGGACTTTCTGCATGAAGATCCTTTTATTCAAAATGTATTGAATTATATATTGTTCATTTGTGGAGAGACTACTGCAGTGTCGGTCATCATGTATGGAAGGAAGCTGCTGTTGCAGTGCTCATACATGCATACCTGAATGAGCATGAACTTTGGAACTGAAAGAAAGGGTTAGTCCCGTTTACATTTGTTTTAGAAAGACCTGGAGTTTAATTCTGAATGCATGTACATGTTTTGCTAGATTGGGCAACAGCAATATCTTGAACTTTCGAAAGGTAAGAGATTGAAGTGCGTTAAGAAAGAGTTTCTAACCTTCAGTGTTTTAACCCAAAAGACATGCCGTGTAAGGATTTTATCTAGTTTAAAAAATACTCTTTAAAAAAACAAGATTCTTGACTAAAGATATTTAGTTCCTATGACCTGTTAGCCTTTGGAACAGAATTTCTCCTCCCTGAGGTCTGTATGCTGTTTTTTATCCATCTCCAGCCTGCAACAGACATGTTTTTTATCATCTATAAATCAGGGCTTAAACTGGTATTTAAAGGTGATAAACACCTTAATCTCTTTAGGGGCTTAGCTTATAATTAAACAGTGACATACATTGAAGAAAATCTTTGATACAAATATAACCTTCATTATTCATTTATGTTAATATATTCTTGCTCCCTAGTAATGTTTAAAGGGAACAACTGCCTGAACTAGTTAAATTAAAAGGGGGTACTGTTTCATAAATGTATTAGGAACCACTGTATGAACTAGTCAATAAATGGAAATATATATACTAAGGCGATTTTGGAATAGCAGCAGACCCACTTTTGTAAGCTGTGGCAGTTAAAAGAAATTGGTGTCTTAAAGAGACATGATTTATGTCTCTTTCTAAGGCCCTTGTCGTCACTGCTTTTGTTTTAGCTACTCTCCCTTTTTTAATCATCTGAAAGTTTAGATAGTTTGGTAACCATACCAGAATCTATCATATAGCTGAGAAAGATAAATGGACCTGAAGTGGATCCCTTTGGTACACAGCTAGTATAAATTGGCCCATTTAGATGTTATGCCCCTTCAGATTACTGTTTTCTGTAATATGTATGCTTTCCCTTTTAGATAACTCAGTTTCAGTCTATGTGCATATATTACCAGAAATCCCTTTGTTTTTCAAAGGTAACCATTTCTGCAAAGGCTTAGTAAAGGGTTCCTTTGCTCAAAATAGGAAATCAAAATATGTAAATATGACAGTTTTAGAGTTATTAACTGTGCTTTTTCAAAGCCCCTTTTCTAACTTACATACCTTTTGTTTTTTCTGCATACCTTTTAAAATGTATTTATTTGGTAAATATTCTTCATTCCAGTATTTCCATAACTTTTCCAGTGACACAAATAAGAGTGATTGGTATTTAGCAGAGGTGTCCAGCTCCCAGAAGAGCTGGGAGAAGCTCATTGACCCAGTAATGCCAGTAACAAGCTCAGTAAGAGCTGAATTGGAATGAAAAGCTACAGACACACTGGTCATCCAGGGTTTCTGATAAAGATTCGTAGCCCTTTTTAATGCTCTTATATGTGGTAAAATACTTTGAAGATATAAGCCTCCTATAGTGTGCATTTTAAAACTCCAGAAAAGTATGCAGTCACTTTTCTGTATCTTTAAGAGCAGTAGATGAGAGCAGCTGTTCCACTTTTTAAGGAGATGTGTCCATTTTTCTTTCTCTAGATTTTGATGGTGTTCTCTATCACATTTCCAACCCCGGAGGTGATAAAACAAAAGTGATGGTCAGCATTTCCCTGAAGTTCTACAAGGAACTGCAGGAGCATGGCACAGATGAGGTATGCATTTCTGACATCGGCAGGTTAAACTCTTACAGTATATCTGATTGGACAAGCCACTGAGGGCAACACGTCCAAAACAGTGCAGGCAGTTAATGAGTTCTATGACCTAGTTTCAGTCTGAGCCTGGTCTGAGCTTGGGTTATGTCACTAGCCGACTGCGACTGATATTCCCCAAGTGGTTTTTCCCATGTGGCAGAATGCCACCAGGGTGGTATTAGATCTCCAAAGAAGGCTTGGTTTTCTTTGTAAAACAGACTTGCCCCGGTGCTATAGATATGCATCAACGGTCCTTTCTCTTGACACTGACTCTCCTGTTGGGCACTGTGGAGCTCGTAGTATATCAAATGGCAAGTGGATTGGGTGGTAGGTATGGTGTTATTTTCCTAGCTGAATGGGGGTAGCTTGATGGGTATAAAATAAAAATATATATCTGGCAATTCCAAATTTAAAATAACAACAGAAATTAACAGATCTGTCCATTTGTTTTTGTTTCACTATGAGCATCTTCTTTTTACCTTTGCATTTCAGGCAGATTACTGATTGAATAATTTGTCAAAAAAGAATTTATCACAGCTCTTAGTACTGTTTATTGTTTTATCTTATTCCATAAAAATTTTCTCAGAAAAGCCACCTGTTTTATTGTCAATTTTTTACATCAGATTTAATTAAATATGAGTTGTCTACTGCCTATTTGTACTGGGAAGTACACGTTCATTCTGTATTTGCTTTATAAGCAAACATACACTGCTCAGTTTGGTAGGAAACGGATCATAGTTTCATTTTATAAAGTTACTATACATAACTTTCTTAGCATTATCTCAATATAAAGAATTTGCTGACATTCATTACTTTGTAGGGAAATTGGTAATTGATTTCTCACTTAATTTAATATTTGTAAATAACAGTGTTCAGTGGCAGCACTTTTTTGTGATTCATATCCAGAATTACAAATTGTTGGTTACATTTAATTCGAGGCCTCGTGCTACAGTATATGCTTCATTTTTTTCTACTTGTTTTAGCAAAAGAGCCTTGGTCTGAACCACACTAATTAAAAAAAAACAATCTTTATATAGAGGTCATCAGTACAAGAATAAGGGAGGACAAAGACTGTTTCTAATACTGCTCATTATGGGGAGAGACTGCTGCAGTGTCAGAGTCACCATGTATGGAAGAAAGCAGCTGCTGTGGTTTCTCACTAAAACAGGAAGTTCAGACTGAGTCATTTCTGACAGAGGAAGTCCAGGGCCTCAGTCATAGTTGCTAGCAATGCATTAATGTCTGAAAAAGATTTTAAGGTGGTGTTATCTTCTACTATTGAGGTCTTGGAAAGCACTAGTCTGGTTTAAAGAGCTAAAAATAGATCTACCTATTCAAGATTGCAGTGTTCTGTAGTGCTCTGAAAGTAGTCTTAAACCTTCAATATCTCAAGCAACCTAAAAATTAAACTTTGCATTGATTTAAGTTTTCTTCACTGAAGGTTTAGGGTATGTTTTTGTCCATAGCTGACCCATTTCATTGAAGTGATGTAAATGTGGTATTTTTTCACTACTGTTATTTTAACATGTTATTTTTGACATGTGCTTGCCAAGAGGAAGTGCTTAGAAGTATTGTTGTGGGACCACAGTGAACTGCCTTAGACATCAGATTATTTTATGTTGAATTCACAAACTAAATATTCACATCACCTTACTCTTTGCTGCATGTCACCTCAGTTACATAATTGATTCTGTAAGTAAATTGCATGGAAATTCTATGCAAATGACTAATTCGTGTGTGTGCTGGCTTTTTTCAGAATATAGCTTGTTTCCTGTTCATTTAAACCCATGTGAATTATTCAGCTTCAATGACTGTGTAGGAATATTTTACATTTTTGTTTTAGAATAGTTCTATGAAGCTATTAGAGCTTGTTAAAGAGCTGCTTACAACATCTCAGTGTGCTTATGTTGTAAATTAACCATATCCCTGTTCTTACTTTTGTTTCTGATTCATTTTCTTTGTTCTGGAGATCAATATATTATTTCAGTGGTGTTCTCTCTGAATCAGCAAAGTTTCTGCCTTTGTCTAATATACCAACTGGCCCCTTGGATCACTCTATACTGATTTGACAAAATACAGTTCTTGACCTTAATCCAGACCATATAGTAATTCCAGTCTTCTGTCTTTATAAACTGTCATAAAGATAATATGTTTTGGCTATATATATCTTATTAGAAAACTCAGTAAGCATTCATAAGATTTGTTTTTAAATGCTAAGCAATTCATTGCATCAGGAATTGTAAACACTTTCTTCCCATAAGATCCTCAAGGAAGAAAGTGCAAAATAAAACTTTCCTTTTGCTTTTTGAGTTGTTAATTGGATTATGATTTTTTTTTTGTTTGTTGCTAAAATTTTAAAACCTGAGTGTTCTTAACTAATGTGGACTACCATGCATTTAGTGGCCATTTAATTGCAGTTCCTGGACAGGGTGAAAGGAACTCTGTTTTCAATGGATACTTGGAAGAGTACAGAGTTAAAGCTTTGAGTCAAAACAGAGTTAAAACTAAGAAAACCTTGGGATTGCTAATCTCTCTTATCTCTCTTGTGGAACAAACTGAATTTTCTTTTTCTCCTCCAGCTGCTGAACAGGGTTTACGGAAATTTTCTGGTGTCGCCAGAAGCTGGTAGGTCCTAGCGACTCTAAAATTTTGCATTAGCGGTTTTAACAATTTTAAATCGGCATTTTAATTTTTATTAATTTGGATCAGTGCAAACCAGCGGTTTTCCATCTTCTGTTCTGCAGGCTATAATGTCTCTCTCCTGTTTGACCTGGACAATGTCCCTGCCAGTAAAGACGAGGTGATCCACCAGGCTGGCATGCTGAAGCGGAACTGCTTTGCTTCAGTCTTTGAGAAGTACTTCAAGTTCCAGGAGGAGGGCCGGGAGGGAGAGAAGAGGGCTGTTATCCACTACAGAGATGATGAAACCATGTAGGTGAAAGATCTGAAACATCCTGTTTGTGGCAAGATGTATTTAGTTCAGGACAGTCTTGAGTGAAGTTGTAAGCAAAAACTAAGTAGATGGTCTTCATTGGGAAAAATAATTGTATTTCTTCATGCAGAAATTGTATTTTGAGGGAGCAGTTTTGATTGAGTGGCTTCATGCTGCAAACATGCCAGATTAAATAACTTGTCTGATTTCTCTTGAATCATAATTGAACCTTTCTTTCTATACATCTCACCAGGTATCTTGAAGCAAAGAAGGACAGGGTGACAGTGGTTTTCAGCACAGTTTTCAAGGATGATGATGATGTTGTGATTGGCAAGGTGTTCATGCAGGTAACCTAATGTTTCATTTAACTAGGAATGTACCTTTTGCACGTGATTTTCACCATACAGTTAAAGTTCCTTGTGTTACCTTCAGTTTCTTTTTTTAAATGGTCATCATATTATAATGTATCTTGTCTTAATTAATTTTCAAAAGTCAGACATACTCCATGGATAAAAATGAACCAGAACCATATTTTAAATTTAAAGTTCAAAGCATGTGCCTTTTTAATGTATGCATGTCATTGTTGTATTCCTGAAACTTCAGGCTTTTTAATATATGCCAAAAAATGACTCCTGCTTTGGGACAGTTTCTACAAAATCTCAAAGATATTTTTGGCTAGTGAAATTGATATGCGTACTTCTGTACAGATCCCTTTAAAAGCCTTTATGGAAACTCACAGATTTGTATATGAGAACAAATCTCAAGCAGACTGGCCAAGAATCAGTAGCTTAAAAGTGCCAGAAATTTCAACCATATTCAGGAAAGACTCCAATGCCCATGTCTTTTGATTTCTGGGCTATTTCTGTCCATTTTGGAAGTTTTATGTTGCTGAATACTTTCCACTTTAATTTCTTCATATGGGAATAGGAGTTTAAGGAAGGAAGGCGTGCCAGTCACACAGCTCCTCAAGTCCTGTTTAGTCACAGAGAACCTCCTCTTGAGCTGAAGGACACTGATGCCGCTGTCGGAGATAACATTGGGTACATTACCTTTGGTAAGGAGTTTGCACATCTTTATGTTAGTGCTTAAGATGTAATAGGTCTGCCATGTTGCAGGTTACCGAATACTATGTAAGAACCTCTGCTTTAACTCTTTAAATAATGTTTTTGCCAAGTATGTTTCCAAATGGTGAATAAATGAAATTTCCAGATCCACAGAAGTTGTTTGCAACTTTTAAAACTGTCATATTTCCATTTTTTAATGATCTGTAATTCTGTTGTGATTTTAAAAGCTGGATCGGTATGTGCATATAATTACACCTTTGCTGTGCATACTCGGTATTTCTTAAGACAATGTGTAAGGGTAAATTAACAATGAATCTAGCATGTATAACAGGTTAGTTGAGTGTAATGGAGAAGCAGAATACTAAAATTAAAAAGAAACAGAAGGTATTTGAAATTCCTCTTTCATTTTCAGTTTAAAGCTTTTTTAAGGTGTAGCTAACTCATAGCAAAACATTTATAAATCCTAAAGAATGCAGAAATGCAACAGTTAATTGAAGTCCCGGTCACTTAGTGTTTTTCAGTCTATTTTACCTTTAATCACAGTGCGTGGCTAATATAAGGTCACTTTATAAGCCATATATATTTTTTTGCATTAGGAGTTCGTCTTTCCCCCATACCCCAGCTTGCTCTCCATGAGACACAGACAGGAAGAGAAGCTTGGGGTCAGAGTGCAGGGTCAGCCGTTGTACAGCGCCCCTGGACCAGTTGGGGTTAAGGGCCTTGCTCAGGAGCCCTTAACCCCAGGCTCTGCCGGCCGTGGGATTTGAACCAGCAACCTTCTGGCCACAGGCGCAGATCCTTAGCCACAGAGCCACTGCTCCGTAGAAGCGTATATGTAGAATTAAATCATAATAATGCATAAGGAATAAGTAAAGGATTATTCCATGTTGAAAAGAGAAGAAAGGAAACACAGTGTTATGTTTTTTTCTTCTCTTTTCAACATGGAATAAACGTTTACTTGTTCCTTTGCAGTCTATGCACGATCACGCAACTACCTACTTGAACTAATAAAGCATATGACTACTTTTTGTTATGTAAAATAATTAAGAAATTAATAAAGAGCAAACATAAAAAAATGCCTTATTCAATTGTGCTGCAGAGGTTATATTCTGTTTGTGTGTAATGGGGTGGACTGGCAGTGTTCATTGTAAAGATTTTTCTTGTCATCATCAATTTATTTGTCTAGCTGGATGGTGTGATATTTCTAATGTACATGCATGCTGACACCTTCCATTGTGAATAGTGTTCTGAATTATGAATGGAGCCATGCTCTGTTCCTTTCAGGTTATCTTATCCTCCCTGTACTCTGAAAAATATTTCAGAGGGAACATGTAACATTATACCCAGCTGTTCCTTAGCATTCATGCCACCATTTAATCTCCCTGCTGTTCAGCTTTGCTATGGAACAGAATTGTTTGTGTTGACAATACAAAAAGCTTTCTCTTCATTTTGAAATGTTTGCACTGCTACAAGACAAAATATTGCCACTCCCAGATGTGTAGCTTGGAGTAGAAACAGCTGTTACACTGATCTTTGTACTGTATTTAAAATTTTGCACAGAACACAGTCAAATCTGAATCAGTATGCTCAAAGACTAACAGAAAGATTCAATGTGGAAACTCTTTAGGCCACCTGCTATGGTGATTGTTATAGTCTAGCCTAAATTTTCATCCTTTGGATTTATATTATCCCTGCATGTATACAGCACATATTAGTTCAGGTGGGTAGCTGCATCAGCATGTGTAGGCTGCAAAGGAACAAGTAATAAGTTTAGAGAACACAACGTTTCGGCCGTGGAGCCTTCTTCAGGTGTGAGCACATATTGCTTCTTTTGTTGTTGCCTCCAACACACAAATGGTTGGAAAAGCTGTTTTCTTTGGTAATATTATATTTTAAACTTTTAAGTTTTGCTTGGCAATTAATTTGTAAAACTTTCACCTTTCAGTCCTCTTCCCTCGGCACACCAATGCAAATGCAAGAGACAACACCATCAACCTCATTCACACCTTTAGGGACTACCTGCACTACCACATAAAGTGCTCCAAGGTAAAAAAAAATCCCCTAATCCCTTTAAGAAGTATTTGAAAATACTGTGTCATCATGAATAAACGTTTGCTCATTTTTAACTGTCTAGTTTCCTGATCCTGGGGTTTCAGAATTACCCCTTTTTCAGAAAAGGTGCCGAGTCAATCTCTTGTGATCGCTTGTGCTACCCGGCATTGATAATTTCACTTTATTGTACAAGCTAATGTGTGTGTATTACTTACTAAGCCCTAGAATGGTCACTGATGTGTTATTGTTCAATATTCTTGAAAGTAACAAGGGTTTTTTGAAGCAGGATTAGGAGGGAAAAAACAGCATTAAACGTGTAACGTTTGTGCTGCCATACATATCTGGAGTTAGGGTGATCCCTTAATTGGTATCAAAAGTACTTTATGAATTTCTTTAAAGAGTTATAAGAGGAGTAATTTATTGCTAATTCTGTCTCTTAGAGCCTCAATTTTGTAAAACAAGGCTTGTTTCAAAGTGATATTCATCTTGGCATGCTAAAAGCTCTCAATATAAGTTATTTTTAATATACTGTATAGTTATATATAAAACTGCAAGCCCAATATACCTATACATATTTCTTTAAAAGTACAGAATACTGATTACTGTACTGTCTATGGATCAGTTGTGATAAAACTATAATATTTAGCACTAGAAGATTAACAGTACAAATAACCTTAACAGAACTGTCGTGCATGTTTTTTTATGCGTATGTGTGCTCTACTGCACATCCAGAAAGAGTTTTAGTAAACTTATTTTTCTCTTTTGGAGGATCCATTCATGAAACCTTAAAATACCTGTAATTACGAGGTTTAATTTGTTTTTAAAACCAAATGATATGAATGACATTTATACCGAAATTTTGATTTTTTTGCAAATAGTGTCTGCTCTTCCATAAGGAAAGGTCTCTTCCCTTTCCTTTATTAAAACATTGCTTCATTGTTGCAGGCCTACATTCACACACGCATGAGAGCCAAGACTTCAGACTTCCTCAAAGTGCTCAACAGGGCTCGACCTGATGCAGAAAAGAAGGAGATGAAAACCATTTCGTAAGTGTTGTAAGAGTAGAAATGAGTTGAACAAGGAAGTAATTTTTGTCTGGAAAACTTTGTGGGATATGCGGGAAGACAGGCATCAGTGTATAGCAAGCTGAATTTTCATACTACACTGGTCTGTTCTTTTAGTAGAAACTGCTTTGCAAAGTGCCAATTCCAACTCTAGTGTTATACTAACTAAATATTTGCTTTTTATGAAAAGGTGATGTTAACTGCATAGAGCAGTGCAGAATGGTGCCTTTCTTGGGTGTCCCTGCAGTGGCACACCTGTCACGATTTACATCTGTGAAAGTTCTTTAGAAAGTAACTCCCCTGAGTTCCATTTCTAACTTTACCATGCAAATAAGTGGCTTTAAAGAACAAATAAAAGATAACTATGTTCTATGCTCAGTACTGTGAATATTTTGATTAAGGACTAAGTTCAGAACAGTAATGACATAAAATACAAAGGAAATATTGTTTTTTTTAGCCATTTGTTTTAGCCATTATATTTTTTAACAAATTTACCACCCAACGTATGTGGTACATTTGTGCAGTAATATTTAAAAGAATTAGCCAGTTAAGATTTCACTGTCTGTCTAATCAACTGCTCTGCCTGTTGTCTTTCTACAGTATCACCCTGTAATCCAAATGCTTTTAGGAAAATTCCAAACAAATAGTGCATTTCAAGCTTTTACAAAAGTCCTGAATTAGGGAAGAAATATACACCAGTAGACATTTTTGCCATGCTTACAGTAACAAAGTACGATCATTGAATTTTAGTACATTGAAATCTATTGGAAACCCACAATTGACTGGATACTTTATTGTAGTAAAATGCAGCTAAATTTTCACTATCATTTGCAATGCAAGTAAACTTTTTTTCACATGATTAACAGTGTACTTTTTTATTGATATTAGAATTGGGAGTGGCTTTAGCATGTGGGCTGTAAAGGAGCAAAATATGGTTAATTCCATATGGAAAAGTGAAAAGCAGAAAAAAGTGTTTGAACTGTGTAGTTTCTCCAAATAGAACTTTGCACACAAAGAAACCATAGTGTTATTTTGCCTTTTTACTTCTCAGCACTTGACCAATTAACAAATTGTACTTAACCAATCTGGCTTTTACAGTTTTGTTTCAAGTAGTATTAGTATAGTACTCATTCATTTTATTTTGTTTTCTGTAGTTCAAAATGGGTTCTTATGTTTCTGGAAGATCAAAGAACTCCGCTGTTTTGAAAATGTATTCAGTCTTGTCCTTCTCTGTTAATATTTACAAAAGGAAGTTCTGCATTAGTCATTATTAAGCCATTGCAAAGAGAACTGCTGGATTGACACTGTTAGCATATCCAGATCCTTGTTAATACCTGAAGATAACCTGTTTCACATCCTGTTTTAACCGATCTAACATTCTGTAGTCCTGTTGGCACTGTTGCAAACGACATCATTTTTTTTTCTGGGAAGGATGGATTGGTTGTATTTTTTTCAGTTTTGTGAGACATTTCATTTTGAACTCATTAGGATTTCATATTGTTTCTTAAAAGAGTACAGATTCTGTCTATTCTTGTGGTTTAATCTGAAATCTTAAATCTAAAGACTTAGTTTTACAACAACTAGAAATGCAAATTGTTAGACAAGAACAACTGCTAAAGTAGCGTCATTAAACTTTCTGTTGCTCCTATTTGGAGCTGGAACATGCCTTCTACTCAATTAAAGTATGTCTCTGCCCTTTATTGTAAGCGTATTTCGAATAGTTTAACTGTGGCTTTGTGTTTCCAGGGGCAAGACTTTTGCTGCTCGTTAAGAAGAGAACACAACCACCTCGGCCTGTTGTGTCTTCAGCATCAGTACTATACTTTCTTATCTGGATAAAAAGCCTTCTTTTTGGCCAGCACATTCCATTTTGTAGAAGCTGGAAATTTGCAAACAAAAAAAGAGGGTAAATGCATACCTTGCTTTGCATAATTATAAAGAAAAAAAACTATCTTTTATTTCATTGGACATTTGGTATTTTGCCTTGCAGCCTACATCTGCAGAGAACTAACAGTGTTCGCTACAAAGTGCAGTATCCCCTTCTTTTTCTTTTCATATCTCTGCCTGGAAGAATTGCCTGTACCCATGGGGTTTGCAATCATGGTAAAGAATAAACTCGTATTAAAAAAAATCTTTGTCTGGTGTACACCATTAAATTGAAGAGTGCGATATTTCATATATTTGAGTTGGTAAAAAGAACTGACTTTTAATTTAATTGTTTTACATTATGTATTTGCTTCTGAGATATGTTTTTCTGAAATTATTCCTATCCATAGGAGATTGTGGTACAGTATATTGTTCTTGGGAGATTAATCGTTCAATTTGAAAATCTTGAGAATGAAATTATCAGTACTGTTTTTTAATGTAATTGTCTGCAGTGTGATACAGAAATGTAACAATGTTCCAGCTTGTAATTTTAAACTGTAACAATCTGCGTCATTTTAGATAAATTTTAGGTGAATTATGGTACTATTTTGTTTTTTTGAGGTCCCTATAGGGTTTGCTTGAATTAAAGCTGTTTTCCAGAGAACACTCCTAAATCTCTTTCTCTCTCTTTGGGTTCATAACATAATTTGCTCTTCTGGTTACCAATGCATTTGTTTTGGTATGCCTAGCATATCATGGCTTTCTTTTATTAATTCAATTATGGTTTTAGTCTGAAAAAAGTTATAACATTGACATAGTTATGAAATAGAATTTTACATTTAGAGAGAGGATTTTTAGTTCTTTTGAACTCATTATTATTCTCATCTTATCAAGTTTTTATTTTCTTGTGCCATCCAAATGTATTCATTCCCCTGCAAAGTTTCCACATTTTGTTGCTGTCTCGGCCCTAAACGCTTGAAAGTAGGACTTCATTTTTAGATTTGCAGTCTCCTGCACAAACCCCTTTACTGTGGCAGTCAATCTGGTTTGATTTAAGAGTAAATTCATCCGTTTCTCAAAATCAGATTGAATTTCAAGGAACGACGAATGTAGCAATGTGACAAACCGAACATAAAGATCAAGATGTTTTCAAACTATGGATGAAGTGGTGGAGAGACACAGCTAAGGAGAAAGTTACTTATATTAGACTGATTAGGGATGCCACTGACTTATTTACAAGGTTCTATGCTTGAGATGGGTGTTATAAACTGGTCCTTACACCACACTAACCTGTATGGGTGAGTGGCAAGACGGAAGCATTTATTGAAAAATGACTAACATTTCATGTGATATATTGCAAATGTGTGACTGAAGGTGTAATGCTCAGTCAAGCCACAAATTGCAGTAAAGGCACAGGACAACACCCTATGGGCAAAATGAAGATGCATTTAATCAGGATTGGACAGCTTGTTTGGATTGATGGGAAAACAGCAGGATCCAGGTAAAGAAAACAAGAAGTACAATGACTTGGAAGCACTGGTAAAGGGATATTCATTAGAAAGGCCAAGAGAGATAGACAAGAATATTGCAATGAAGGCTAAAACAAATACATCTGTCTGAAGAAAATCATATTTGCATAACTGTATGTAAAGACAATGAATTAGAGAAAGAAATAATGGCAGCTGGTTTGGGTCCCATTTTTTTATTGAAGAGAGAGAAAAATCTTGAGACTTTATGAACTGGTATACAAAGGCAAATCATATTTTTTAGCCATCCTCAGTGAAGATAGGGAAAGACTGTTCAAATTACAGAAGAAGCTATGATTCAAATAGAAGTATTAGCAAGGCACGTGCTTTGTATCATCTGCAGCTCTTGCCAGTTAAAGCTCTAATTGCATCTCATTCTGAGACACCACCATGCCATCTACTAGCTCCTGGTTGATCACCACCACCGTCTTAACACTTTCCTTTTTCGGTTCTGAAATAGAAACAAAATTTCAACTGAAAAATCTTTAGTGTACAATACATTAGGACAGGTTGTAGGTAGTAGAATGATTTTTTTTTTAGCAAGCTGTGCACTTTTCTTTGGATGACACTTCAGATAGGCAGGAAGTGGGAGAATGTACACTAAGACCGAGAATATTGGTTCCCAAACATTTTAAAACCTTTAAAAGCCAATGGTCAGGTAAAAATGCTCACATTCTACAATGCTATTGTATAAATGAGGAGAGTCTGGTATTTGTACAATTTTTAGTACACTTCACATGCCTTTTCCAGGCATAACAATTCAGAGCCTTGAAGCTGACTGTGAAACAGCTTTGCAAAGGAGTTCATTTGTATAATTGGTGAGGATATTTAATCTTCACTTTAAAAAGTCAGTGTATCAAATTAATTTATAGAATATTTTGTTATTTTTCAGGTATAAATAATTGATTTACTCAATCTTCACGTTTATTAATGTCTTTTGAGGTATGCTTTTCAACTCTGTATTGGCATCTTTGAAAAGAATTTAACAGTTGGCTTCAGGCAGACAATATGAGGAGGGGAGCAGTGAGGCACACGACTGGAATTCAGGAGCAGAAGAAGGTTATTTCCATATGAAAAGCAGCATTAATGTGCAGAGACACTGGAAGCTTGGTTAAATTGTGGTGCCAACCCCAGCATCTGGGATTCATGGTTTCCTGTGAATTAGCCTTTGTGCATAACTCACCTTCATTCACTGGTTGCTCTAAATCAACTCTGCAGAATAAAAAAAAAGATAAAGGAAAATACAAGAAGACATTTTGTGGATTTGCGAATCATAGCACGCTTTGTATTTTTCCAGATGCAACATTTATGAAATATTCTAAGCAGAGTCAAATCTTTTTAATATTTTCTCTTAATTTCCATATTAGGAATACAGAGCGTGCTCTTTATAGTTGGTTAAACATGAAGCTGAATTCAAAACACTTCAGTGGAAGGATTATCTCTTAGACAATCTCACAGTTCTTGAAAACTGGATGCAAATAAGAAAAGTCACAGTAATGTTTGGGTACATATTTCGGTCATAGATTTATCAGATTTCCAAACATTTGTTACAGAAAAATAACTTCCTGTTTTAAAACCTCTGCTAGTTTGCCATCAGATAATGTTTTTGCACTATGGTTGTATTAATAGTATTTTTACAAACTGACTCACAAAAGTGTTGAGATTGGAATGAATTCTGGGTTACTAAAACCAAGTCTTCCAAGTGTCCTTCAATATTTAAGTATAGTTTTAAATATGCATTTCTTTAACCTGCTAAGTTAATTGGAAACAAATTCTCATTTACAATGGTGACCTGGAAAGTTACCCACTTAAACTGCAGGGTATTTAACTGAAGCAATCTGAAAGAAGTACTAGAGTAAAACAAGAGTATCATACCAGGTATTTCAACCCACTACCTTCCGAAAATATGGTGTCTGGACAGAGGAATGGTGGATAAGATCACTTGAGAGAAAGCAAGTCAGGAAAACAAATAGGGCACCATGAAACATTATTACTGCCGTAATGATAGAACTCTTCTTGAAGCCCAAATTCAGCATTCCTGTAGCCTCGATAGAATTTAACATTGTGTGTCCAAGTGTCCAAAGGGAATAATATGATATGGAAGAGAGAACTGGTGCATTAATAATATGATCTTATTAAATGAGAAGATATACATAAAACATAACATGGTAATACTGTATATGTGTGCTCTACCAGTAAGTGGTATGTTGCTACACCAACATTAAGTTAAGTAGAACAGAATGTAAGGAATTCAAGAAAATAGATTTACGATGGGTTCCTTGTTGGCTGTATTCCTAAACAGGCAGTTAGAATGACAATTATAAGAAAAAAAGATATGAAAAACAGATTAGAGTTGAAACAACCCCTGACAATTATATTGTTCCCATGACGAAAAACATGTTCTTGGCTTTCTAGGTCAGTGCAGTTATGCATATCAACATGCACCAATAAATTCTCACTCCTCCACTGTGTAGTGTGTATGCTGGGCATAGTGACTGATGCAGACCAGTAATGGATAATGTGCTTCCCTTCCTATGTGCAAAGAACTTTGGGATCCTTTGGGATGAAAAGAGCTATACAGTGCATATCTGAAGAATGGTACCTCCTTTAGTCACAGTGTTATGTTACCGTAGCGCAGCATTGGTTTGGACAGAACAGTTCTACCAACACCACTCATAACAAAAACAAGGTTGTCCAAAGTGGTCTTCAATCTCTGTACTGATCACGTCACGTCTTGCCTGGGCTCCAAAAACGCTACAGGGTGGCAATTCTGCAGTCACAAATGCCTATAAACCTGAAAGAGACTGTGCTTCATGTAAATGAACACCAAAGGTAAAAAATAGAACATGTCTCACCTGCCATCTTCCCCCTCCAGGAGGCGGTGGTAAGTGTCAATCTCAGCCTCCAGCTGCATCTTCATGTTGAGCAGCACAGTGTACTCATTGGCCTGACGCTCCATGTCAGCCCTCACCTGCCCCAGCTCTGCCTCTAGTTGCAAGATGATCTGGTTCAGTCGGTTCATGTCATTGGCATAGCTATTCTCCGTGTCCCGTAGGGTGTCTTCCAGGGAGCGATTCTGCAGGATGAGGGACAGATCATTATCCACAATAAACTGAAGGGGATCCTGAAAAATGTTTTGCAAAAAGAAGTATGTTTCTGCATTGGTCTTCACTCATAAGTAATGCAGCAGCAATTCCTGAAAGACTGACAAAAAAAAATCAGCTGGCAAGAAAGTCACTGGGTTGGATGCAACAGCATTCTTGTCTGAAGAACTATGTAAAACCCAAGGTGCTTACCATGTTGTGGAGACCCTGAAGATCAATCTCCAAGGTTTGTCTCTGCCGACGGAGGTCATTTAATTCAGACTTCCCAGCCTGCAGAGCCTCTGTGTTCTGGTTTACTTCAGCTGACAGGCCATCAAACTATTAAAACAGTTTCACCAAACAATTACATTTGCATTCCTTCTCAATCCTTCTAGTTTCCAAAGTATCTTTTCCTCGAGATAAGATTCTCTAACTTCGTTCTGTGACCTCACATTATCTAATTAGCACTGTAAACATGTCTTCACAGATTAGCTAAGTGAGTAAGCTTGAAGCTTTCATCTTTTTTAATATCTGCTGTACTCTGTCATACTATTAACTCTGAATTATTTAAAAGTGAAATGTTTATGGTACATGTTAAATATTTACTTATACTATAGTTATAAATTGGTTTACTATTTCAAAAACTACTGAACCAGCTATCTGGCTTGAACACTTTAGAAAGAAAAGTGTAATTTTAATTAAAGCATATATGAAAGATTAAATCTGAAAGAACACTAGCCTTAAATTCTGAAAATGAAAAGTCTGTAGAATTACAATTCTGTTTCAGATTTGCAACTCAGTCGGTGGATAAATATTCTTCAGCAACTGCTATAAAGTCAATGAAAGAAAGGTGAACAGAAATATTATTGTCTAAAGCCCAAGAAAGCTCACAGGCACAGAGTCTGTACCTTGCTCTGATACCAGGCTTCAGTGTCCCCCTGGTTCTTCTGAACAGCTTTCTCATACTCTTTGCGAATCTGGTTAATGGTTTCATTGAGGTCTGGTCCTTTGGGAGTGTCCATCTCCACTGAGACACTGGAGTCATTAATCTGGGCTTGAATGGCAGCCACTTCCTGAGAGAAGCGCATAACAACAAGTGAGAATTGGCAAGCACTCGAGGGTATTACTTCCTCAGCAAGAATAACTGTTTATTAAAGGAAAACGTTTTATTATATGCGTTGGATTTTATTTTCTGCAATGCAAAATTAAACAGCATTAGAATCCTGAAGTCCCAACTTTAAGAATGAATAACTACTACTTCTAACCTTTTACCCTGAAACAATTAAATCCCACAGAATAAAACAGTTTATTAATGGGGCTGAAAGAAGGTGTATTGTAACAGTGATAAATTCACGACAAAAGAATGAGGACTTGAATTTAGATTCGGATAGTAAAATCTCCAGCTGTGTCAGCCCTCACCTGCCCCAGCTCTGCATGTTACCTGACCCTAGTGATTTAAATATCTCTGTTTTTGGATTTTAAAATTAAGACCGTATCTTCAGGCAAAATTAAAAATCAGATGTAATCTGGCAACATAACAGAGTACAAGCCAGTTGGAGTTCTTTAACACGTTGAGTAAAGGTAACAGAAAGAATTCTCAATTTTATATTTTTCTGAATCGTTTCAGACTGACATTACCTCCTCGTGGTTCTTTTTAAGGAAAGCCAGCTCCTCCTTCAGGGATTCGATCTGACTCTCCAACTGCATGCGACCCATGTTGGTGTCATCAATGATCTTACGAAGGCCACTGATGTCTTGCTCCACACCCTGGCGCATGGCCAGCTCTGCTTCCCACCTGCAGAGGGAGCATTTAGTAAATGTAGGAGCAGTGGAAGGGCTGCATTAAACAGTGGTCTGAATATAATGATACAGTCATAAACAAAGTGTCTCAATATCTCAAATTCCTTAGGTTCGTGGGAACACTGGATTGGGTTAAAAGAAAATGTCTGTGTATAATGGGAGGAGCCAGCACCCATATCACCCTGCAGCTCTCAACTGGCTACCCACTGAGGCTAAGCAGGGTTGATCCTGGTCAGTACCTGGATGGGAGTCCTCCTGGGAAGCTATGGTTGCTGCTGGAAGTGGTGTTAGTGGGACCAGTGCGGGGTTCCCACCCTGCAGTCTGTGTGGGTCCTAATGCCCCGGTATAGTGGCATACTGTAGTGGGCACCGTCTTTCATATGAGACGTTAAACCGAGGTCCTGACTCTCGATGGTCATTAAAGATCTCTGGGCATTTCTCAATAAGAGTAGAGAGTTATCCCAGTGTCCGGTCCAAATTACCCCCCCCCCTGCCTCAGCCTTTACTGTGGCCTCCAAATTGTCCCTATGTATGATTGGCTTTCCTTCCTATAAAGTTAAGGAAACCTTACACCACAGGCTTATGTGAGCATATAAAATTGTGTTATTTAAAGGAGTATTTGGAACTTTTTTTCAGTTTGTATTTTCTTACGTTTTAACCAATTCCTGATATGTAACCCTGCATAAACTTTATGCTTTTAACTGCATGGGTTACTCATATATATATGAGGGTTATATATACAACAATACCACCAAAAGCAGACACGCTGGCCTGAACAGACATACTGCCCTCTTGTGGGCACAAAACATTTTCAATAAGATCCTGAGACCGATTAGGTCTTTTTATTAGGTATTAGGGATTTTGATTAGGTTAATTATTTTGTAATTACAGTTTGAGCTTACTGGTTTTATTTCTATTTTTAGTTTATTGATTTTATTTTTTTCAGGCATGAATTAAAAGAGAGGAAAAGTGTTCCTATCCAGTTATATCCTGGTGAATGGGATTACTGCAATATTTTAAGTCCGGAACACCTTCACTAAATCAAGCAAATACCGCTTGGTTTATATGGCACATTTACAGAAAAAAAAATTCAGTACATCATTTAAACATTTGTGTTTGTAAATTAACATTCACAGAACTCAGATCCTAAATGCATCAGTTTCCCTTAACAAATATATGTATGTATTATATACATTTTAAAGTAATTATTTAATAACCTATGACTCACTTGACTTTAAAGTCGTCAGCAGCCAGCCTGGCGTTGTCAATTTGCAGTATGAGTCTGGCATTCTCCAAAGTCATATCGCTGATCTGCAAAAAAGAAGTCAATGAGTATTTAATTTACAAATGTAGAGAGGTAGTGATGTTAACAACTTTCTTTTCCGATACATCAATTTGATTAACAATATTACAGTTAATTTCAGAGCGGACGTTATCAATACGTTATCACCTTCCAGCGTTTTTTATTCCTATTCATCTACTGCCATACTACAATAGTGACCTTATTATAAACCTAATATTTTGGTAACGCTGAAACTCGAATTTATTTTTATAGTTATTGTCTATGTTCTTTGAAGGTTAAAACAATAGCCCCAGGTTCAAAATGCACATGCCCAATCCATTATGGATGATGTAGTATTTCAAGAAACAGTTCCTTTTGAAAAGACAGTTAATTCCTCTTCTATACAGAAGTTAGCATTTTATCTGGGTGTGGTTAAAGCCCAACTTCCTTAAAAAAAGAAATTTCTAAGTTTGTTTTCTTTGTAATCACGTCAATTACTGAATCAATACTGACTTTGAAAATGTTCTGATCAAAGAAGAATCGAAGCTATGTGTAACTACCTGTTTCTTGAGATCGGCCAGCGGTTTCTCATAGGCACTCCAGTCTTTTTGGGTGTTCCCCCTCTTCAACATCACGTCTTTGATTTGATCTTCCAGCTTTTGGTTGGCTTCTTCTAGTTTTCGCACCCTGCCCAAGTACCCAGCCAAACGGTCGTTTAGACCTTGCATGGTTTCCTTTTCATTATTGAGGCCAAGAGCGGCAGCCCCGGCGTTAATATCAAAATGGGAGCGCAAGTTATTGGAAAGCCCCTTTATGCTGGACACCGAGATTTGAGAACCCAGTCCTCCAGCTCCCCCGAACATGCTGCCGGCGCTGGAGCGAAGGCCTCTTTGTACTGCCGCCTCAGAGCCGCTTAAACTGGAAAAATTCCGGGGGCTGACTGCGGACTTCATGACAAAAGACATACTGAATCATAAATCAAAGTGAAAGAAGTTAAGGTAAAACGTCTGCTGATGCGAAGGTACCTCTGTCGCTCCCACTCTGTCACCTGCACAGGTATGGAGAAGTAAAGGTGCAGGGGCATTGCATTTATACCGTTCTTTACCTCATCATGATGCGTATCTCGTCGGACAACAAAAGGAAGAGGCAAGTCGACGCCCCTAAAGGTTGTGCCCGGTCAGTTTTAGGTAACCATTAAGAAACTCTTTGCCTAAACCAAATTGGTAAATTCAGAAAGCTAATCCAACGAAATTGTGGCTTTGGTTAAGAAAAGAAAATGCATTTTTATATTACAGCAGCTCATATTTACATTTGGAATTATAAACATGTTAGTAGTCGTATAAAAAGTTTCAAGTTTATATTTTTGCATTTTAATTCTCCTAGATTTTTTTTTTGCAACGACTAAAAGAGTACAACGAATACAAGAGTCCCAGTATCGTTCGTTTGTAACATTGCCTATCAAGATCAGATTTTAGAAAATTTGTTAAACTGCAATATACCGTAAGCAAAATAGTCGTTTCTTGTTGTTTGATATTCTGTTTGGTTTAAAACGTAAATGTTAACAGTGGAAATAATTGATATCGATAACAATAATTTATATCTAAGAGGAAACGCAAAGATCTAGCACATCTGATCCGTTGGAGCACTTCAGTAACCAATTGCTCTTAAGGAGTGGTACAGTACATTCTGTAGAACTGGTCAATAGCAAAAGAGAAGGGACGGGTGCGGGCTAATGCGACTGCCACCTGAAGGGCGGAACTTCAGAAAGTAAATAATTCATGAGAGGAGGTTCCTCATTACCTTTCTTAAGTAGGTGGGTTGCCGTTTCTGTGAAATTATAGCTGCTCTATCCCTCAGCCTTTAAGTATTAGCCGAGCAGAAAGAGTAACACGAGATGGCTTACAGCAGTAGACCCTACAGTGCGAGGTCATTCAGTAGCCAGTCTTACACCCCTACAAGTAGAGCAAACGCGCCTCGGGCGAATTCACAGTTCTCACTCCGAGGTGGATATCCTACGATTAATCGATCGAATTCAGCTCATCTGTTGAATTCCCCCAGCTCTGAGATAGACCCACAGGTCCATCAGATTAAAAACAAGGAAAAGGATGATATCAAAGGGTTAAACGACAAATTCGCCGGTTTCATCGAGAAGGTCAGTATGCACTCAGTACAGATGTTGAATTAATTTGACTATCAGACAATCTTTATTCAAAGTTTATAATATAATTAATGGAACATTATCATAAAAACTGAAACTGTGGTATTTGAATGTGTATTAATAATACCTTAATTTACTATATATTTATAATATACCTATTGTAACAATTCTATCAAATTTAACAGAATATGACTATTTTATTATTTTAATTAAAATATTGTATGTTCTTTCTGCATCTTTAAGTTTTATTTCTCAGTTAATTGTACTACATACCCACCAATAATTATTATTATATACAGGTTGGGGGAGAGACTGGATTTCATTTTCTGGTAAAGGAGATACTAGAAACTACCACTTAGGCCTACTTCTGTAATAACTGTATATGGTATTAATTAAATTGAATGTGACTTTACTTTAACCATTTAATCACTTACAGTTTTATTTTACTTAATAGCAAAACAAGTCGTTGTCTGGGTCAATAAGTAGCCTGTAAGTGAGTAAAGTACTGTATGTGATAGAATATTACACCTGCCCGCCGCAAGCCACGCCTTGCAATCTTTCTGCAACTATGAGATTTACAGCGCCATCTTCTGGAGAAGTTAAAAACAATCTGTTTTCTTGCGTCTTTATAATGCAAGGAGAAAGCCCAAATGGGTGTCTTTAAATATTCACATGAGTCATAAACGCACCTCTCTCATTATTAATTATGTGCATTTCCATTTAATTTTAACACATAATCTTATATCAATAATTGTGGACTGTGTTTTTATGTTTGCAGTTGTAGCGCAATTAGAAATACACATCACTTAACTGAATAGCATACCTTTCTCTCTCTTAATAACAACTTCAAATTTGTAAAATACAAAAAATCAATTCACAATTCACCTGATGGTCTAGATAGAGTCCAATGACATGCTAGGCTGCAAAAACAATGAGTCAAATATCCTTGCAAAGGACGTGTATCCTCTTGCTTTAGGTATTGTAACCTGTAAATTATGTGGACATACGTGTAAGGTATTAAGTTGTATTTACACTTTGTGAGGCTGAGCAAGTTAAACTGTCCACACAATCATGAAGCTTTTTGCTTTGTAGAGGTTTTCATTTTTTTTCTGTGGAATGTGCCCTGATCTCTTCTCCCATGAATATGGAGTGCCAGAATATTTAAGGCCTGCCCTTTCATTTTCATGTTCTCTGTTTCACAACATGATTCTGTGTATCTAATTGATTGATGCTCATATGGCTTTTGATCCACTTTCCTATTTTATTTATTTTGCAATGAATAGAAGAAAGTTTACAAATAAAAGGAACCCATTTGGCCCATCTAGCTCATTTAGACCTCATTTAGGTTATTAGAATCTAATCAATCCAAGGATCTCATTCAGCCATTTTAAGACAGGTGTCAGGGTATCGACTACAACAATAAGACTGTGTAGTTTGATGCAGATCCCCGCAACTCTTTGTAAAAAGGCTTCTAAAAGAGTAATACTGAGCGCAGTATTAGTTCATGATGAAGTGTTATATATTTTGTAATATATATTTTTATTAACGTTTTTGGCACTACTGTTGAGTGCTAATTTGTTTCATAGCGCACATTTTCATACTTAGGAGTCTGTTGTAATCGGATGGTATATATACTCCCAAAGGTAGTCTGTTTACAAAACAGATTATTTGTTTTAATTCATTAATCATTTGTGCAAACACATCATGCAGAACAAAATGCATCATGTGACACAAAATACAAAATGATTTTTTTTCCTTAAAAGCAACAAAAAAGATGGTAAACTGATCTGTGGTGTGGTTACTTAGCTGTACTGTGCTTCCAAATACACTACTGTACACCATTGTTTGGATTTAATATCTTGGTGTTATTTTCTTTGTTTTGCATCTCTTTTTTTTTCTTCATATCCAAAGTAAAAACTAAATAATGCTATCCAAATTAAATAAGGAAAAAAAAAAAACTTTTTCTCCAGTTCGTCACAAAATACCTTTGAGGAAATATAAACCTAACAATGATGTAACTTTCAGTCTGTACAGGCTTGGCTGCTCATATCCTTATGGGGGGGAATTATACACATTTGTATAAACCCGAAGGACAGGATGAAATGAAAATAATTTGGTTGTGTGTTTGCAGATACACCTCTTAAGCATATTTGTATTTGATGAAACATTTCATCATCTCCCAATGACTGGTGTATTTACATTTGCTCTTACAAATCCCATTACACAAATACACATTCCTGGTCTCCAAATACAAATTCTACACTTCTCAGTTCTCACTAGTCAACTTTTTCAAATCTACATAATGGCTTTTTATGTATGCTTTATGTCCCAAAAATAAAATACTTAAGTCCAATCTAAAAAAAATGTACTTAAGTACTGTAGCCAAGTACTGTAGTTCTACTTCATCACTTCACAACCATTCTAAATGATTTTAACAAATGGTGTAATGAGCATTCTTTGAAGTGAAATGAAAAGAAAGGAACATTTCTGGAAAAATGCAACACCCATCCAACCTAACCTGTAATTAATGGTCAGACTGTAGAAATTGTCAACAACTATTTGGGACTGGATCCATAGACACAAACCTAAGATGTGACAAATGCAGTGAGACCCTTTTAAAAAAAATAATAGTGAATAATAATAGTCACAGTAACAAACAGAAAGGGGCTACTTTTTACTTTCTAATACTCGAGTACCAATACAAGAAGATACTTTTGTTTATTTTTGGAAGTTACAGTACTGTTAATCAAGTAACATACTTTTTACACCCCTCGCAACAAATATACTAATAGTGTAATTCTATTTATGATCCTTTTTCAAGAAACTAAATTTAATCAAATGTTAATTTATTGGTTTTTGGTTGAGAGGGAACATTGGTGCATTTGGCTGCTGCTCCTCCCACCAGATTGTTTTCTTGGTAATATGTACTGTATATGTTTATTTTCTTCCTCATATTGCTGCCACTAAATATTTTCACTCACTGCTTAATTGCATTAAGTATTAATTTTCATATAAAACAATTCACCTTTCCCATTTAAAAAGAGCTTGAATCAATGTTTTAACTATATGTTCAGAGGGTTTTAAAAGCCCATAGGTTCCTAGCTCTGGTGCTGATGGACCAGTTTGTCTTTTGGTCTTTGCTCCAGGTAAGTTATTAATCACCATTAAATTGATCAGGGTTTTCTCTTTTGGGAAAACATTCAAATTAGCTTTCTGATCTTAAAGGGTCAAATTAAATTTTAAAATATATTACAACCCTATGCCATGCAGAAGGACAAAAAGCTCAAAATAGGTGTGTTTGATACAGGAAACATGTAGCATTTCAGCTGTGGAGCCTTCTTCAGGGGTTTGATACAGTGTCTTTTCCACCTGCCTTAGGGCAGTGTATTATAAATTAATCATGTTTCAGGAGCAGTTTAGTCAAAACTATTGGTTTAGCAAGTTGATGAGCAGTTGCATTAAGTTCTGTATGCTGAAACAGCTGTAAAAAATAAACCAGAAGTGAGTATTTTCAAAACTCAGGACTCGATGCAGAAACAATTAAATCAACAATATTAAAAGCCAATCAAATTAATTAAAGCACAAATTACCACTGGTGATTCAGAGCCCAGCTGTTAAAACAACAGATAGAACTACTGTAAAACCCAAAGACCAGGGCTGAGAATCACTTTGCCCATAAAGCACCGTGCCTCAGTATTATATCACATATCAGATAATTGTCATTGAGCTGTGTCATGATTGTTCTTTGTCTTTTGAGCTAGCTATAAAGCACCATATGATTCATGCATTTCTCTTTTTTAGAGTGATTACATTCTACCATGTAAATACTGTTGGAAAGCACTCTAAAGGAGTGAGACATCTTCACTTGTTAAGCATAGGCTTCTACTATATTTGTTTTAACTCATTTAGTTTTACAATGAAGTTTTATCATTTTTGTTAGTAGGGTTATGTTATATGAGGTCACAAAAGAATAATTCACAATAAAGGAGTCCACATATTCTCCCTCACTATGCAAATGAGGCCCCATTTGAATACCCTGCATGATAGCAGTAAAGTGTTGAGGATATCTGTCTCTGGGATACTGGAACATTTGCACAAGGGCATTTTTTAAAGATATGATCCCTTCTGCTGGCTGAAAATTAAAGACCCATGCTTCTTTTGGTTCTTCTGAAAAATAATGACAGAGCCAAATGTATAGTCAAATCACTGACACAAAGGTTTTTTCTATTCAAAGCCAATTCTATTGTCTATGCAAATATATGTTTTTTTTTTCAAAATAGGTGCTTGGTTTCAATTTTTTTGGCAGAAAGACCTTTGGCATCAGACTGTGAGTTTGCCGCCACAAAGGTTTGCTTAAATCTCTAAAAGACCAACCTGTTGCAGTTTGAACAACCTTTTGGACACTGCCCTTCTACTTTTGTAAGCCCCTACTAGCTCTATTGGTAGAAAATGAGACTCATAAGGGTAGTTCATGCCCCACGTCAGGCACAATGTTCTCTAATAACCCATACTGGGCAGCAGCAGTATGGGGGGGCGGTGTTGGCAGTATGTGAGGAAGAAAGGCCTGGCAGTCTAATTCCGTATCTTGTCATGAATACTCTATCGATAGTGACCGTGGAATTGTCCATAGGGTTGCCATGAGTCGATACCAACTCAACCACCACCACCACCACTCCTACTTTTAATCAGTTCAGAGACCACAGCAATGTCAGTGTAGGTGACATTGTGTGAAATGTGTCATGTGTCAGTGCGAAATTGTAATTAGCCACTAAAACTACAGTGCCACCTCTGAATTTTTCTGTTTTTCTAATTTCTGTTGGAAAAAGTAAAAACTCCAAGACCAAGTATTAGCAATTTGTGGAATTTGGACTGTGTTTTGCATCATTATTGGTGGAACTACACCAAAAAAATGACACCAGAAAAAATCGGGTTACTTCTGTGAGACAGAAATAAAGAGGAATACAGCTAAGTTAAAAACAAATAGGTCTTTGAAGTCAAAAGATAATCAGCACAATCTCAAACATTTGTCACTCACTATTTCTGCACAGTATTTTGAGTCTTCTATGCTTAGAGCTAAAACAAGAACTAAACTTGTAGCAGGGAACGTGAATATACAACACGGCTCCTTCAATGTAAGACTGTTACTGTAAACTGGTGTAAACCTTCTGGGTCACATGACTGATCTTTTGGCTCAGCGAATTTGTTTTCCTGTCTGTGCACTGTCCAGGGTCAGAGAGCTGCTCAATATGCTCATGGCAGTACAATCTAAATAATGCTGTAAATAATTTGCAATAAATAGTTATGTTCCCGGGGTACTGTTACTATTTGTGTTTCACGCTTACTGGGACACTAATTGTTCCAACTGCTACAAAGGGTAACAGTGTAGTGAAGGAGAAATGAATTAAAGGTCTGCCTACTCAGGTCAAAGCCCCATACCTGTTCATTTGTCTTACTGGATATCTTACAAGAAAGCACGTTTTATCAAAATGGTTGTAAAATCACTTTAAACTAACATGCTTTGTAGATCAGTTAATTCAGAATTATGTTTCTCAGTTGTGAAAGTGCCTTGGACATTGATGTCAAAGACTGGATGAGTATGTTGTAGGAAAGATGTTATTTAGATGCAAAACACTGATGTGGGATCTCAAGGCTTTATTCATGTTTTATTTTTTTTCCTAGAAGAAATTGGTTTGTATAGAGTTTTTACAATTACAGTAACAAGGAAATGCACACAATGTCTTTGTTACTTGAGCTATTTAGAAATGCAAAATGTAGCATATGGTTTGAAGAAATCACCTTAAGTGGTTTACTTGTAAAAAGCAAAAGGAGAAAGAGAGACTATAATAACGCTACAGGAAAATTGTCTGAATATCTTTCCATGCTGTAAAATATAAAGCTGGTATGTCTAGCTTTCAAAGTATAATTAATGTATTAGTAGAGTTGTTATAAATGTGTTTAATTATCAGGTAATGCAAGACTCATTACAATGATTCACAGATGTTCACAGGCACAGGTAAATGATCGCAACTGATGACTCTGTAAACTAAAATTCTGCTGAAAGAACCTTGGAAGACATAAAACAAATAAGAGATGCTAATTCATTTGAAACTCTATTCAATATTTATAACTCTCAAGTTTGCAAAGTTGTATATTTAATTCTGCTCACAGAAGAGTAAGGTTTTGGGACAAACAATGAAATGTATACAGAATATCTTTATGTACCTTATTCAAAGTTCTCTGGAATTGCAGAAGTTATTTGAATACCAAGCAAATATTCGTCACTGTCTCTAAATCATATAAAGTGAGTCATAGCTGATTGCTTCTTTCAGGTGCGTGATTTGGAGAAACAGAACAAAATCTTGGAAACTCGCCTTCATATTCTGCAAGAGAAGGACAACTACAAGTCTAATGCAGATCAGATTGCGGCTGAATATAGAACCAGCCTGAGAAACCAAATAAATGGACTGGCCCAGGATAGGAAGAAACTGGAGAGGGAATTAGTACGCATTCAAGGACAAGTGGAGGACCACAAGAACAAGTGAGTTTTCACGTATAATACAGTGTCAAGTATAGTACAGTGAATCTGTATAACATGCTAAATTTAGCAGTGATGGCCTTACAGGAATATTTTTTTTTATTTAATCTCTACTAACCCCATTGTTGGATTCTTAGAATTCAATTACATATTATTTGGAATTATGTGGCATTTTAAATTGAAGACCTGATTGTCAAATGAACTCAGATGTAGAACCAGTTTGACTGCAAACAGTGAAGGATTTATTGAAGCTCCTGGCAAATGGCCTGCTGCTTAATGGTATCTATACATCATTCAATAAAAAAAGAATATACAGGGTCGTTCAGTAACTGCATGAAGGAAAATAGGACAGCAAAGAATAATGTTACAAAAGCTGTCATTAGTTATTAGTTTTGAAGGACATTATGAAGCATTATTTAACAACATGAGGTGATAAATGTACACTTTCATTTAAAAAAACAATCAAAAAGAGGATCCTGATGCTGGCCCTCTGTAAAAGCCAGGGTTTCATGAAGAAGCAGTATAAGATGACATCCCTACTGTGATAATTTAAGGAACAACTTTCCCTTATGGGAGTGTACCTTTGCTTTCAACATAACTTACAACATAATACAACATAACTTGGAGCTGAAATATTGTCACTGTCCTACGATTCTTTATGTGTAAATTTAATTAGCCATCCATTACTAACTGCTGCCAGAACGATCCATATACAGGAAGAAAGTAATGTTTAGGAAATTAAGGATTTAAGGCCTATAATATGTTTTTGTAGTAATACAGCAATTCTGAATAGTCTAGAATTTCTCATCCTCTTTTAGGATACAAAAAAGAACCAGTGTGAAATGAAAACATTCTGAATGTCAGCTTGCTCTCTCAGCCTTCTGAACTCTTAACTTGACAGGTATGAAGATGAAATCAACAGGAGAACAGAATTAGAAAATGATTTTGTCATCACCAAGAAGGTGAGAAGATATCTGATATCTGATTTCCACACTGAAAAGTAAAAAGAAGAACCATGTTTTAGCTGTTGAGCCGCCTTCTGGTTTTGACACTTTCAAAGTGGAATTAACCTTTACTTAAAAAATGTATGACATACTATCTTCAGTTTTGTTCATACCAACATGTTTTATTTTATATCACATAAATTTCTTTGAAAGTGAATGATGTTTAAGGTTCAATCACGCTCAGTGTGACGTTATTTTGTAATATGTACAGTGTGACAATACTGACACGGTAAGGTAAAACTTTAAAGAGTCAGTATTGTGTGAACATACTGTACCAAAAGCTGCCATATTATTATAGTTATTATTGTAATAACATCTTGTAGATATCCTGCATTTCCTAACACTGGGACCCCCTCTTGTAAAAGACTTACTATAGTTTTAGGATGATGGATAGGTTAAAATGATTCTACTTATCTTAGAGTCTTCAATATTAGCTGCATTAACTTTTTCTCATTTCTACCTTTTTTTTTCTAATGGATGACTGTGTTTAATGCACTATCTGGAAAACTGTGCACCTCATGTCTTTCAGGATGTAGATGATGCTTACCTCCAGAAAGTGGAACTTGAGTTAAATCTAGAAACCCTGACGGATGAATTGGACTACATGAAGAAGATGCATGATGAGGTGCGGCTACAGCCAGAGAAAAAGCAGCATGCAAATTCCTAATGGAAGACATGCAGTGAAACTTAAAACTGAACCTTAAAAGCCTTTAATTTCACAGTTAAAAAATGATTAAATTACATTTACCTTCTCTATAGGACATTTTTGACAGTATTCTCATCGTTTTGCTGCTTCAAGATCTCTTATCTGATTTGTCTTTGTTCTTGTTCAGGACATACGGGAGCTTCGTTCTCAGATTAACAACACATCAGTTGTGCTGGAGATGGACAATAACCGGGGTCTGGACATGAACCATATAGTGCAGGAGGTTAGGGCCCAGTATGAAGAAATCGCTGCCCGTAGCAGGGAGGAGGCTGAGCAGTGGAACAAGAAAAAGGTCTGTAAGCATTTCTCTTCTTATGTACTGTATCAACTTCATATGACAAACTTGCATCTTATGTTTATTCATTTTGCAAAGACACTAGTAATTTGATTTTAGGAAGACATTTTTTGATCGCTTACTCGCATTAGAAAAAACCTTAATTATAGTTTTATTATTAAACTCATTCATAATAGTATAGTACATCATACTTGTGCATTACAAACAATGTAACTTCTTATTAAGTGCCAGACAAGGGATAGGATATGTTTCATAAATAATTATAATAATAATAATAATAATAATAATAATAATAATAATAATTGCTTACACTTATATAGCGCTTTTCTGGACACTCCACTGAAAGCGCTTTACAGGTAATGGGGACTCCCCTCCACCACCACCAATGTGCAGCATCCACCTGGATGATGGGACGGCAGCCATAGTGCGCCAGAACGCTCACCACACATCAGCTATCAGTGTGGAGGAGAGCAGAGTAATGTAGCCAATTCATAAATTATGTTCCTGTAAACAGCTTGCAGTACAAGAACATACCGTTGAATTACAGTACAGTTCTATTTCTTGATTATTGGTTTTAGAATAATAGAAGTTAATATAACCCATGCTGTTGAAATGAGCCATAGTGGCAAAATTATCATTTCATTCTCCTAAAAACGTCCACCTTTTCCACCCTCAGTTTAATGATATGACATCTGAGGCTGGGAAATATGAAAAGGAATTGCGAGATTTGAAAAAAGATATTGCCGATTTAATCCGACTCATTCAGAGACTGAACTCTGAAGCTGATGCCATGAAGAGACAGGTGAGTCCCCACCATTGAGCTATTTAGTCAAAGAAGTTCATGTCTAAATAGCACAGAACTCAAACCACGTGCTATGATTTTAAGGCTTCTTAAATCCACATTTTTGCATTGTGAGCCAACTTGCTAGTGTTGTGAATTTATGTTATACACAAACTAGCAAACTGACAGATGTGTGTATGACAAAAATGGGAGATATTTCATCTGTGCACCTTAGTTCAGCAACTTCCAATATCTTGTGCTAAAAAGAGAAGAAAAAAGAAACACAACGTTTGGTTTCAGGTGTCACTTTGGGTGAAACGCGTTTTTATTCTTCTCTTTTCAGCATGGAATAAACCTTTACTTCTTCCTTTGCAGCCTATGCACTTGAACTATTCCAATATCTTATATTACTGAGGTTCAAAAGTAATGAAGCTGTCTACATTAGCATACAAAAAGCCACAAAACATAATGTACTCATGATTTAACATCCTTACAAACAATAATAATAATACAGTGCCTGTAAAAAGACTTCTCATCCTTTCCCAAATAACACTTTTTGTGGCCTAACAGTCTCAAATGAAGATGCATTAAAATAGAATTAATTTTACCTTTATTCACACATTGTAACACATAACCTCAAAGTGAAAAACAAATGCTCAGACATTCTGAAAAGTAAATGCAAAATGAAAACCTATAAAAAATGGTTTGGATAAGTATACACATCCCAGAGTTAGTATTTAGTGG